ACGAGACCGGCAAAGACGGCAGCAACAGAGAGCCACTGTGCGCGCGAGAGCCGTTCGTCATAGAAGAAGTGGCAGAGGAGCGATACGAGGATGACATCTGCGCAGACGACCGAACAAAGTGGCCCTTGCGCGTCCGGATCTGCAGCGAAGCTGAGCTTCATAAACAGGGCTGCGGTGGCCAGCGCAAGGCCACCAGAGAGCGTCGCTAATTTTGGGATGCAGCCGATGCGCTGCGGTGGGCCGCCATGCTCGTGCGAGTCGCAGTAGAACACACCTCGCGACGGCCTGCGGAGGAGGAGCGCTACGCCACAGGTGCCCGTGGACAACCACAGCAGGCCGACCGTCCGGCAAAAATCGTCCTTTGGCATTGAGTTGGTAGCGCCAATGAGGTAGTTCTGGAGACCAAAGAGCGCGCACGCGCCGGAGGACCAGCCGATGGCTTTGCCGACGCTCATATTGCAGGGGCCGCAACGGACGTCCGTTTCCCGGCAGTTGTTTTCTCGAAACACCCGACCCAGGCATTCCAATCGCGGTGCTGCCGCGGGCGCTGGGGCAGCTGCCAGAGCACTGCGGTTGCGCCGAGAGCAAACGCCATCGACGGAAATGCTCTCCTGTGGTTCCTTGCCCGTTGCCCCCAGGGCTCGCAGCTCCTTCCTGGCCGCCAGCCCACAGCAACCAACTGATGCGCCAACCACCACCGCCCCCCTGCTGTCAACTGCTCGTCTCCTACTGAGCTGGACACGCTACTCCATTCCTTTGCGAGCCAACGTAGTCACACACACAACCGCGGACGTCGCGGGCACCGCACAGAGCCAGTGATGGCCATTTACTGGTATAGCCCCCCCTGATGAACACACCAGTGAGGGTGGGCGAGACGATCGAGGGGTCCCGTACCATGCGGAACCGACCCTATCCAGTGCTCAAGTGCTCAAGTATAGCCCCCCAGAACAATCAAACACTCTACGGCCAAATCAATCAATCAAATGGTGGTAAGTTTTACCACGACTTCTGAAGCAAAATCAGACAAAAATCGGAGAAATCGGCAAAATACCCGGTATTTTCCAGGTATACCCGGGTTTTCCCAGGTATACCCGCAAAATACCCGGTATTTTGCCAATTTGGCTGAATTTGGCCGCAAACCAGCCTCAGACTCGGCTCAGATCCCGAAAAATTGATGATTCCACGGAGTTTCGTAATTTACCATACCACTCTCTGCTCATACCATACCACTCCCCTGGAGAATCAAATAAGTGGTAAATACCACTCTTTTACCAGTAAATGCAAAATGGCCATCACTGGCCACAGACTGACCCACAGACCGGCCACACAGCCCACACCGCGCGTGGGTCGGCTGCCTCTCGGTGGACGGCGCTGGAGGTGGGGCCGCGCTCGTGTGTTCTCCGCGCGTGTACATCTTGCTCTTTATTTCGGGCACATCATAATGTTCATGTATGGTCCACAATGACCCGCCGTCAGACGACTCGTTGCATGTGAAGCTCGTCCTGCATCATGCAAGCCTTGCGCACCCACTCGAGCATGATCTCGGCGTCCTCCTCCTCAATCTGGTAGACGCCCGCCACGAAGGCCGCCGTCACCCCGCCGGGGCGCGTGACCATATCTGCCAGCTCCCCGGCCAGCTCCGTGTTGCCACGCAGCCCGTTCCGCCGTGTCACCTACCGAGGGCAGGCGCGTCGGCGAGGGCCGCGAGAAGGGGAGGAGGGGGCTAGGAGAGGGGCCTGCTCGAAGCGCTCGCGCAGCTCCGTTATCCCGCGGTGCGCCGCGTCCTCGGCCCGCTCCTCGAACGTCTCCTCCGCCACGCGCTCCGCCTCCTCGCGGCAACCCCTCAGCCGCGCGCGAGCCTCCTCAAGCTTTGGCGCGTCCAGCCCGGCGTCGACGAGGAGCGGGCCGGCCACCTCCTGCAGCCGCGGGGAGAGCAGCGCCTCCACGTCTGCCTCCGCCTGGCCCCACTCCTTGAGCGCCTCGTGCGCCTTGCTCCGTCTCCAGAGCGCCTTGACATTCTCGCCGTCGATCCGGATCGCCTCGTCCAGATCCTTGATGGCTCGCCGCCAGAACTCCATCTTCATGAGCGCCTGCCCACGGTTGCTGTGCAGCACCGACCGCACCACCACGACCAAACGCATGTCCTCCACTAGCATCGGCCTACCGTCTGCCTGCGCAATCGCGTCGAGCCCCGCCTGCCAGGCGGTGAGCGCGTCCGAGTATTTCCTGGCCTTGAAGGCCGCGTTGCCCTCCTCTTTTGCCTCAGCGACAAACTTGAGCAGGTGCTCGCAATTCACGACCATACCGTCCTCGGAGGCCCCCGCCATGAAGGCGCTGGGCTTGGCGCGGGGCTTGTGGCTCTGGGCTTGTCCGCGTCGTCAGCGAAAAAGAATTTTGTGCCCCCTTCGAGCCTGTCGTGCGTGTCCCTTCTCAGGAGCAGGAGAGCCCCACCTGTGCCCCTGATCGTCCTTCCAAAAGCCTGCTCGTGCAGGTGGGGACCCTGTCCTCCTCCCCCATCCCTCGTTTGGGTTTGTCTTGGAGCACTTCGGAGTGCAGTGATTAACTGTTTTCTTTCTTTCTTTCTGGCACGTGAGCCACGCTGAACGTAATTGGGTTGTCTGTTTTCTTTCTTTTACACTAGGCACGGGACTGGCGCGCACTGGCGAAAAAGAATTTTAATTCGCGGGTTGGCGAGCACTGGCTCACTGCGAGCCTGTCGTGTGACGTGTCCCTTCTCAGGAGAAGGAGCGAGCCCCACCTGTGCCCCTGATCGTCCTTCCAAAAGCCTGCTCGTGCAGGTGGGGACCCTGTCTCCTCCCCCATCCCTCGTTCCCCTCTGTCTTCTTTCTTTCTTTCTGGCACGTGAGCCACGCTGAACGTAACGAACGTAGAGCCGAACGGGAGGAAACCGGGGAAGACGAACCCGAGGAGGACGAAAGGTAATCTCGTCGTCAGCTGTCACGATGCACCCGAAGGGGACCCCAGCGCCAACATCATCGGTGGAGGTACAAGTGTCCGACACGAGAGTGGACCTGAGCAACGATATGACTTGGCGGCAAATGATCGGAGTGGGCGTCAGAAGAGTCGTCCTTGCGCGAGGAGAGCTCGATATACGATAAACTCGAGGGGCCAATCTTTCTTTTACTGGCACTAACACAGGAGAAGAGATGCGACATACTATTCAGTCAGTGGCAAGGCCCAGGTGGTCTAATTTAACGTGCATCGGTCGCAACGTGAAGTGGTCGTACATCAGGAGTCATGATGATAGAGGTAGAAGATTCGCACTGCATCCACCCTCTTGATGAAGTGGTCGTACTCGTCATAATGTGGCGAGAACCATTCATAGACATAGTGGCATGCAAGGAAGGCACGGTTCTCCTCGTCGTCCCAGAGCCAATAGTGCCAGCGGCTGGGTTTTGCACACGCTACTGCTCTCCGCTCCGCTGCGGAATCGCCCCACACTGGCGGAAGCGTGTGCCTCACCGTGTGGCTGTTCCATGTCTGATGAATATAACCCGCGGGAAAGGTTCATATTGCCTTGCTGCCGCATGCTGCTGCCGCAACGCTGCAATGGCCGGGTGTGATGTTGCATTGTAAAATCTGTCGATGCGCTGCCTCAAAAATGGGTATGCAGATAACATTCCCGGACCTTCCCGCCGCCCGCTCCGCCGCTCCTCCCTCCGTAGAAGACCATACTGCATACACCACACATTCCCCCTCCTTCAGACGCTTCAGACTGCGCGACGCCCCCCCCCCCCCCCC